GTTCGTGCCTTCTTTTTTATTTTAAATTTACATAGATTTCCCCCCCCCAGTTCCCATAAAGTACATTTTATCATTTTGCCTGACCATTTTGTCAAGATCGTATATTTGTAACTTTATATGAAGGTGTCTCATATCTGCCCATTGCTTCCAGTCTGCCTGTAGCTCCTGAGGGACTGCAGAGAACCAGCAGCAACCAGCCAGGCGCCGTCTCAGCAGTCCCAGCTCTATTCCAGAGGCCTGTGTCAGCTCGTCCACATCCCTGGAAGGCAGAAGTATGAAGTGGCAAAGCACCTATGAGGCTGATGCCACCACCTTGCCATTTTCTGGGTGGAGGATCAAGTTGCTGCTTATTGACAACACCCAAATGACACCTTTCCTTTCTACTAAAGGTCTGACAGGGAAAATTCACTAGAGTAAGCACAAAGAATGCTTAAAAGAAGAAGAGAAAAAGAAAGAAAGAAAAAGAAAAAGAAAAAGAAAAAGAAAAAGAAAAAGAAAAAGAAAAAGAAAAAGAAAAAGAAAAAGAAAAAGAAAAAGAAAAAGAAAAAGAAAAAGAAAAAGAAAAAGAAAAAGAAAAAGAAAAAGAAAAAGAAAAAGAAAAAGAAAAAGAAAAAGAAAAAGAAAAAGAAAAAGAAAAAGAAAAAGAAAAAGAAAAAGAAAAAGAAAAAGAAAAAGAAAAAGAAAAAGAAAAAAGAAATCAAATGATCAAATGAGTAGACAAGGCAGCCACTGGATCACCCTACACTTAATTCCTAGTTTTACACACTTTAACCCCCAATTATGCCTAATTATGCCCAACCCCTCTTAAAGCACAGCAAGTCAAACTTGTAATTTTGAATGAAGCGACATCTTTGTACAGGAAAGATGGGAAATAGAAGGTGTCTTCTGTTAACAGATCACTGTGATAGTTTTGGCTACTTATTCACTAATGCAGGCTCAGACAAGATGCCCTGGTTTTGTGGTTACATTTAGCGCAGCAATAGGTGAGATTAATTCCCTTGGTTAATGGAAAAAATGGGATGGCATCAGGAGAAGGGGTACAGGAGCTGCACCCGAAGACGGTGCAGCAGAGGAGAGTGCTCTCCTGGGGTCAAACTGAGCCGGCATCACGGTCCTCCTCTGGTTCAGGCAGATGGAGGAATTCAAAGTATCTGTTGTCTCCCACATCACACCGGGGTGCTCTCACCACTCGCTCAGTGTGGCTGCGCACTCATGTCTGGAGTCAGAAATAAACCGTCATTTAGTAGTCCTAGTCCCACGGAAAGCCAGAGGATTTATTTAATAAGCTAAAAGCTGCCATCGATTTAAGCCTCAGCCCCCCAAAATTACCTATCCAACTGTCTTTTGCCCAACTGGTTTGAGGCACTCACCTCACCCAAATTCAAGTAAGAAATCCAAGTCTGAGATCTGGCAGTATTGCAGTATGAATAAAGGTCCCTGCAGAGACGGCGCGTTGGCTGAAGGAGGGATGACAGGTACAGCGGCACTGGGAAAGATGCTTCGTCATCTACATGTCTCAAAAATAACCCTTATGGATATAGCCCTAACCCCATAAATCCCACTCACTTCCCCAAATATCTCCTTCAGTGCCTTTGAGACCTTGGGTCTCGCTGCCTAAGTATTTTTGAAGCCCTTCCTCTCCTGCCCCCTTGAAGCTCCGAAACTGCTTCATCACGTTAAGTATTAACCCCAGCACTAAGTCCGCTTACTTTTTTTTTAAGTTGACAAACCAACCAGACAGCAATTTGGTCCACCCTTGGCAGGTTTATAAATAGATTTCAAAACTGAGGGTGTTTATAAGCTGTTCTCACGAGTTACAGCCAGAAGAGGGGGGGAGAGAAAAGCCAGAAAGCGACTGTCCCGTACAACAGCCCGTGGTGGAGCTGTTTGGTACCCGGTCAAGCTTGTGTCAGCTCTGCAGGGTGTTTTGGCATGTGTTACTTGAAGGATTTGCCAGTTTCTTGCAGTAGTAATCATGAAAAATACCCAGCAGGGCATCTGTCAGCGAGTAATTACAGGAAATATCATCTTCCTTCTGTGCAGCGCGTTCGCATCATTTCTGGAGCGAGGTACAAACCTGAGCCCGTCTCCAGCAGCCCTGTTGGGATCTGCCAAGCTAAATGACATCACAGACAGATACTGTCAGCTTTGTGATGTTACTAGAAAAGAGGAAATAATTTCATAAATGGAAATTCTTCCTCCGAATGTCTGCAAACAGACTGCACGAGCTTTCAAGTCGCCAGTCATACTGATTTAGTGCCATTTCCTAATAATTTGAAAAGTATCTTGAGAGTGAAGGGTATTTCTTCATTACTGGATTTGCTCTCTTTTATACTGCCAATCATTTGCTCTGACAAACACCAAACGAGGGCTATTGATTACAGAGAATTAATTTAATATCGTGCTGCAGCTCAGACCATTGCCAGTGCTCTGGAAGGTAGAAGGAGACTTGTGTTCCCTGTGCAAAACAAACAAGATTCACTAGTATAAATTCAATTGGGGGGGAAGAAAGAAATAAATTCAAAGCACATGAAATGCTACTCATGAAGAAAGGAAATAGTAGTTCCTCTTTGACATGTGCTTTTGCTGTGACCTAGCTCGTGCAAGCCTAAAATAACCTTTTTCTCACAGGTGTCCTTGCAAAGTTCCTGCTGTGTGGCCACAGGGCAATGCTTTAGCACAGGCAGTCGCTTTTCCTAACAAAGACCACTGCTGCAGAGACACCGCTAACAGCTGGGAAGCTGGGACTGCTGGACCCGAGAAGACGGCAGTGAAGAAGGGCAGGGGCTGGAGCGATGCTGGAGATCTGCAGGATTTCCAAGTGCTGCCGAAGAGAACAGGCACAGACCACGACAGACGGACGCCGTGTGCCATCTGCCGGTAGCCAGGCTTAAAACGGGCGAGGAGAGCGAGCAGGGCTGCCAAGAGACGCTGGAAGAGAAACTGGATGAACAGAAGACCTCCAATGTTTTACTAATTCTGTTAGGAACTTCTCCCGCTTCCCCAGCACAGGCATCGCCTCTTCCCAGCCGGTAAATCCCCTGCCCCGTCCCCGTGCATTCTCTTAATCTGTGGTGCTAAACCCTGCGCAGCGATGAAGAGCTGCTCACTGCGTGAGATGGTTCCTGGGAGATGCGGTATAAACACCTACAGAAACTGGACATTTCCAAAATGCGGTTGCTGAGACTGCCCATTAATAAAGCACAGCACACGGGCTTTGATGTTCCTGTCTGCAGCACCTTGTGTGTCTCCATACAGCAATTCCGGCTGTCCCGGGGGTGCTCTCACAGCAAAGCCGGTCCCAGTGCCCCCCCCAGCAGGGGGGATCCCCACCAGGCTCTCCCCTCTGGGGCGATGCCAAAGTTTCAGTGAAGACTGTGAACACGATGGCCCTGGGACATAACCATTCCCAAGGGCTAACGCTCAGCTAAAGCTCAGAAACGCAATAGCCGAAGGACTGCAATTACAAATAACAACAATATTAAAAGAAAAAAGAGATGAGGAAGACATGGGACCTAAGGACGAAGAGAAGTGATTCCCTCCCTCTTTCCTTTCCTCCCTCCGGATTTTGAAGTTTTTAGTGATACTTCCTATGCATGCACATCTTTTACACCCTGTGTCAATTCAACAATATCTGACCCTGAAGAGGCAGCACTTCCCAGGAAGTCATTTGCAGAGCTGATCACATCCGCTCTGACCGAAAGCATCTTCTTTCCCAGCCACCTTCCAGCCATCGTCACGGAGGAGACAGAAACATTTGCTCTGTTTGAAAAGTGCAACCTTGAAGTAGGGCAGAGAGGCTGGATTAAAACAAAAGATCTTTTATTGTCTTCAACCGAAGAGTATGATACAGAGGAACTACACATAGGTTTCATTCATATAAAAAAAAGAGAGCCCTTTATTTACACAAGAGTTCAAAGTTGCCAATAGTACCTAACAACAACTCTGTATTTTCTTTGTATTCTTTTGTTAGTTATTCCCACCTAGACAGAGCAAGCATTGGTCAGTAACACTTAGAAAAACATGTAAGAAACTTTTGGGCAGGAAAAAAAAAAAAGAAATATGTTCTTAAAAAACCCAAATCCTTACGGGAGTTTCACTGTAACAAACCCAGCAGAATACTTACAACAAATCACTGACAAAAGGAACAGTTTTCGGTACGGGCTCAGCAGCCTGATCATTCTCAGCCCTTCTTTTACTTCCCCATCTAAGTAAATACACTCTGGACATGCACAAACTCAACATGTATGAAAACAGGTAGAAATTTATTTAAAAGTAATTGTGCTTTTATTTATTAAAAAAATTTACAATCAGACACTGTCCTGCTGTGTTTCCAAAAGCATGGTTCTCTTAAAAATGACAGAAACTTAGCTTATTATTATTATCATTATTATTATTACTTTCTCATTATATTAATAATATTAATCTTAAGCTTAAGTTTAAAAACATACTGCTTTCCCCTTCCCATCCCCTCCTTCTCTGTGGTACTTGATATATATAAAACAAGGCTTTCCAACAACCAAATAATTTCAATTGTAACTAATAATAATAATAATAATGATAATTAACCGTACACATTTCTGTGTGTAAAATATGGCTGGTTCTAAAACAAACTACCAATGCACAAAACTGTTCTCCCTCCCCTACCCTGGGTCACCCAAGAGATAGTCAGACTGTGGAAGAACTTTATCCCAGAGGCTTTCTGAGAAAACAAAAATTAATAAAACAACATACAACCCTTGAGATCGTCGTCTTTGGTGTGGAGGACATTACTGACGGGCAGCCGGAGCTGCGCTGCTGAAAACGCTGGGACGCTTAAGGCTCGTTGTTTGGACTGCTGCAGAAGCCTCTGTTGGGCCAAGGGTCACCGACGCTTTGGTACGACTACCAGCCCCTCGCACCCCACCACCCCAGTGATGCCAGAGGATCCCCCCACACCCCCGCGCTATATCCCTCCCCCCCCTCACCCTGCCCGTAGCCCCTTCACCGCCTCCGGGGCTTTACGCCCGCTTTCGTCTTCCTTCCAGGTTTCGGAAGCTGGAGGGCCTCAGCTTCATCTCCGCAAACTGGATGGAATACTCATGGCCCTTCCAGTGGAACCAGTTAACGCCCTGCAAAGACAGAGATGAAGTGTGGGAGGTCAGGCGCTCGCTTCTCCTGTTGTCAGACTTTGCCGCTCTCGTTTCGGATCGCAGGCTGTTTTCTGACTCGGGAACAGAGGCACAACAGTCGCAGGGCTTTGGGAAGCACGTGGCCCTGGCCACTAGCACGCACAACCTGTACAAACCAACCCCCACGCTGTCCCCAGAGCTGTCACTCTTTGCCTGGCTTTCATGGCAGGAAGAACATTTTGTTTCACACGTTGAAAATGACAATTGTTCCATGCACACTCGGGATATTCCTTTGGAAAATCATACAAAAACATCTATATTCCACCAGCTGACATTCAATTCTTGTTTTGCGAGCAACTGCCCCTATTATTCTGTATGATCCTTTGGTCTGGAGAGTGTGCTTGGCTGCCGCTCTGATGTCTGGTTAGCTCAGCCACCAGACAGACCCATAATTGCTATTCCCCTTCTTCTAATGCAATACAGAAGCCCTCAAACGCCAAACTCACCTGACTGTGGCTGTTGTCACCATATCTGCCCATCAGATTGACTCGGTGACAATTCTTGTACCAGAATGCACCCTTGTATGACAAAGCACAGTTGGTGATGGCAGAATCATTGTCCTTGTCAAAGGTGGAGAAGGATCTTCCGTTATGGTATGTCATGGAATCACCTGAACGGGGGAGACAAAAGAAAGAGCAAGGTCAATGGTGTGCCTAGTTTAGATTCCACGGGAGTGACCATTCTGCAGAAAATGTTTGGACTGTGCCATGCACTGTCTGTAAAGCCTGGCTGTATATCTAATTTTTTTTTTTTTTTTAATGACAATTTTTGGTTTTGGAGGCAAGTCAAAATATTTTTCCAGGTACTCTCTAACCCCCAATTTATTAATTGGCTTTTATACAGCTCAGTTTCTGCAGTTCTTGCCGAAAGCCGGATTTTGGCCCTGTAGAGAAGGCAGCGTGGACAAACCAAGTCCAAAGAGACCTCCACAAGGAGTCAATCAAGACCCGAGGAGTCTCCATGCAGTAAAGCTGCCCATCGTCTTTAGCTGGAAACACAGACAGAGAGATGTCTGCCTTCCACAGAGTTCCCACTCCCAGGGTCTGGGAGCCCATTTACAGGCGGGTGCAGGAGGAGCAGCCCCCAGTGCATGCCTGAAGCAGAGCTCACACTCGTGCCTTGGGGTCTGTGCTGCTCCATCCGTTCACCTTACACCCGACCGCTTAGGAAGAGGAAGCAGTAGGACTGAATCCTACTAGCTATAGCAACTACTACTGCTCTGCACCGGTGTGTTTGCCTTACCTAGACATTAATTCTACTGTTGCTGCCTACCCTTTGTATCCCTACCGGCTGTGCGTAAAGTTCATGTGGTCACAGGGCAGAGTCCATACACACACACATCTCGGGGGTCTGTTTTATGGCACCCTGCAGCACGAAAAATATCTCCTTTTAAGACATCCTGTGGAGCTAGATTTATCTCTTAATCCTCTGAAGCCCTGACTCAATAAAGGCTGCAGGGTTTGCCCCAGTATGATTACAAAAGGCAGGCGATTTGTTCAGCAAAATTACAAATCATATTATAGCAGGACTCTGCTGCATATTCCGCTGACAAGAGATGAGGCTGTGCCAAGTTATTATTAGCTGTATAAATGACAGTCAAGCATTGGCTGAACGAGATATATGGCCGTTTAATATACTTGTTTATATTCTGTCATAAGCGTGCCATAAAATGTGGCACCCAAACAACTGGAGGATTTAAAATGGAAACATAAAATATATCGATATGTTCATATTTTCAAACACCTGACATGCAAGAGGTACCTGCTGTGATGGTGACCTGCAACATTCACATACCGTTACCTTGAGCCAACGGGGAGGAAATTGCAAATCAAAAGGAAAAAAAAATATTCCATCTCACCTGCTGTGCCACTGTACCCATCCACTTTTAGCCGATATCTGCTCTTCACGTCCCCAACGCTGAACTTGTCATAGACAGCATAAGCTGTCTCACCTCGGTCCCGCAGATCCACACGCAGCTCGTACTGGCCCTGAGAAGTGATTTTGTGGAGGTTCTCCAGACCTGTGGAAATAAATGAACAATCCATTTGTCTCCCCATGGATTAGGTTGGAAGGGACCTTGAAGATCATCCAGTTCCAACCCCCTGCGCTGGGAAGGGACACCTCCCCCCAGCCCAGGTTGCTCCAAGCCCCGTCCAACCTGGCCTTGAACACCTCCAGGGATGGGGCAGCCACAGCTTCTCGGGGCAACCTGCCCCAGGGGCTCACCGCCCTCACAGGGAAACATTTCTTCACAATATCTCATCTAAATCTCCCCTCTTCCAGTTTGGAGCCATTCCCCCTTGTCCTATTACTCCATGCCCTTGGAAAAAGTCCCTCCCCAGCTCTCCTGGAGCCCCTTTAGGTGGTGGAAGGGGCTGTAAGGTCTCCCCAGAGCCTTCTCTTCTCCAGGCTCAACCCCCCCCAACTCTCCCAGCCTGTCCTCCCAGCAGAGGGGCTCCAGCCCTCCCAGCATCTTTGTGGCTCCTTTGTCTACGATCATGTTACCCCATAAACGAGGTCGCACTGGCCTGTATAGATACACCAGGGCATAAACACTGGTGAGGAAAGTGAGCTATTCCAGCTGTTGGGTAATGTTAGCACAAAACCAAATGGATAAGAACAGGCTGATTGGGAGACCTCTCCTCTTCAAATCACAGTAGCAGGTAGCTCTTTGGGAAAAGTAATCAAAGTTGTCCTGTGTGATCATCATCTTTCATTGATAACCAAATTAAATGTAGTGCAATCTTTGAAAATTTGCTTTTTACTTCTATTTTCCCCACTTGGCTTTTGTTGCTGAGGGTGTCCTAGGGGTACAGGAAGAAGGTGGTTTGCAGTTGCTTCTCAGGTTGCCTCCTGACTTCTCACAGAGCACCAGAGAGCATTGGTTTTGTATGTTTGGTGACCCAAGAAGCGGCAATTCCAATGTCCCTCGTGCCATGCTGTCCCTAGCCTCCTTTGCGCAGATCATGTTCCCATTTACAAATACTCTGGCCAACTAAATGAAGGCTTCAAAAGTAGCTCCTAGTCTCTTGGGCTTTGTGTTTTCTTTATTTATTTTTTTTTAAAGACAAATTCTTGCTACTTACCTATCCAGAATTCATCCTTAGGATCTCCAAAACCCACCACATAAGTCTTCCAGTTCTTGTAGAAATCTTCCTTTCCATTTTGACGCCTCAGGAACACCTGCAAACACCACGTGCAAGAAGTGTTATCAACAGACGGCCTCTGACAGAAGGCACTAGCAACGCAGCTTTTACAAATGCAGAGGTTGGCATTGCTGCTCCGCTGCCCTCACCACCCAAAGCCGCAATCTCACTGCAATTGCTCAGTTGTACCAAGTCCGTTGAATGCACCTTGCTTTTTTTCACAGAATGATAGAATCATCTAGGTTGGAAGGGACCTTTAAGATCTTCGGGTCCAACCATCAACCTAACACTGCCGAGTCCACCACTAATACATGTCCCTCAGCACCATGTCTACCCGTCTTTTAAATACCTCCAAGGATGGCGACTCCACCACTGCCCTGGGCAGCCTGTTCAAACGTTTGATAACCCTTTCAGTGAAGAAATTTCTCCTAATCTCCGATCTAAACCTTCCCTGGCGTAGCTTCAGGCCATTTCCTCTTGTCCTGTCACTTGTTCCGTGGGAGAAGAGACCAACCCCTCCTCGCTACACCCTCCTTTCAGGTAGTCGTAGAGAGCAATAAGGTCTCCCCTCAACCTCCTCTTCTCCAGGCTGAACAACCCCAGTGCCCTCAGTCGTTCCTCATCAGACGTGTCCTCCAGACCCCTCACCAGCTCCACTGTCCTTCTCTGGACACACTCCAGCACCGCAATGTCTTTCTTCTTGTGAGGGGCCCAAAACTGAACACAGCACTTGAGGTGGGGCCTCACCAGTGCCGAGTACAGGGGGACGGTCACCGCACCAGTCCTGCTGGCCACACTGTTCCTGATACAGGCCAGGATGCCGTTGGCCTTCTTGGCCACCTGGGCACACTGCCGGCTCATATTCAGCTGGCTGTTGACTAACAACCCCAGGTCCTTTTCCACCAGGCAGCTTTCCATCCACCCTGCCCCAAACCTGGTTGCATGGGGTTGTTTCTAAGTCTCTGGTTTATCTGCTGGGTTCCCGGGCTCCCCTGGTGACTGGCCGTGCAGTTCCTGCTCTCTGCTTTTTTAACAGCCCCTCACAGTTATTCCTCAGCCAAAACCTCCTACATCGTCTAGTCTCCTAGTCATGCATTTCTCCAGCTCCTCCTTCCTTTCTGTTGTCCTGGGTCCCTCTGACATGTTGAGATTTGAGGACATCAGCACAGAGAGCTGGCATTTTTATTGCCATTCATTTGTTGTCTGGGTGGGATGTGTCCCTTGTATAATGGCCTGGGAACCCTGGCCAGCCACCACGCCACGCGGCTGCTGAACAAATGCTTTCTCTCACCTGTGCTTTAACCTCTTTCACTGTCTCTCTGATTCAAACAGTGACTCTGCCCTCCTCTCACCTCATTAGCCGTTTAGAAGGTACGTATCTGATCTAAGATGGTCATTTCAGCACACCCTATAGCCAGTGGAGAGAGACTGGTGCTTTTCCCAGGTGCTGAAACCACCCCTGTGACCCGTCCTTTGGAGACACCTCTCTCTCCTCCAACTACAGAAAGAGCTGGTAACATTGTTCTAGGCACCTGGGTGTCCTACCTGAGACAAAATTCACAGCACCCCAGACTGGTGAGGGCTGGAAGGGCCCTCTGGAGCTCCCCCATCCCACCCCCCGCCAGAGCAGGGGCACCTCCAGCAGTGGCACAGGACGGCGTCCAGGCGGGTTTGGGATGGCTCCAGAGGGGGAGACTCCCCCACCTCTCTGGGCAGCCTGTGCCACTGCTCTGCCGCCCTCACAGCAGAGAAGGCCCTCCGCAGGTTGAAGTGGAACTTCCTATGGTCACGTTTGTGCCCGTTCCCTCTTGTCCTCTCACTGGGCACCACTGGAAACAGACTGTTCCCATCCCCTCGGCACCCTCCCTTGAAGGATTTATCAGCATTGATAAGATCCCCCCTCAGTCTTCTCTCCTCCAGACTGAACAGCCCCACGTCCCTCAGCCTTTCCTCATCAGAAAGATGCTCCATTCTCCTAATCGTCTTTGTAGCCCTTTGCTGGACCCTCTCCAGCAGTTCTCTGTCCTTCTTGACCCGGGGAGCCCCGAACTGGACACAGTGCTCCAGATGTGGCCTCCCCAGGGCAGAGCAGAGGGGGAGGATGACCTCCCTCCACCTGCTGGCCACGCTCTTCTTGATGCCCCCCAGGATGCCATTGGCCTTCTTGGCCACCAGGGCACAAATTCCTCGTGTTTATAGACAGGTCAGCCCTACTCTGAAAACAGAGCACTATGAGGGATGTTATAGATGGGATGGGATCTGCTACTCCTGCTCTTAGCACAGGCAGATGCATGTGAGGGTGGTGTGGATCCCCTCCCTCTTACTCACAATCCATCCGCCCCCGTCCTCGCCCATGTCGCAGAAGACTTCCAGAGGCTGAGCCTTGTCCCCGTTCAGGTAAATGGTGTAGAGCCCAGAGGTGGTTTCCCCATTCAGGAGAGCCTGGGAGCAGTCTTTAGGGTAAGGATAGAGAAGACCAGCTGCACACGCACAAAAAAAAAAAAGAGAAAGTAGTCCTTAAGAAATCAGAAATTACAAGGAATTTGTTGAATACAGATGACTCATGAAAATCTGTTGTGGCACAGGCAGGTACAGAGCTCAGGAACAGGCTTGTCATTGCTATCCTACTTAAAAAGTTTCACGGTAAACAGCAGATGATGTAAATTTTTCTTTTGAATATGTTTTTGCACATCTGCCTACGCTTTTGGAATGCCAGATAACTACTCCTTGCTACGATGAGAGTGCATCCTCCAGCTAAATATTTAAATGGTGTGAGCTCCGATTACAGCAACTTTTGGGTAAAACCAAATCTACCAATCTCTGATTATGTGACAGAAAAGGGAGAGGGAAATAGACATACAGCACCACAACCAAAAATAAATAAATTGGGAGTATTTTGCTAGCAAGTATAATATTAAGTATGTTCTACAACTAGGCTTTTAAAAAAGAAAGCAAACAACAGTTGAGACTACAGGGAAATATTAAGCATTTCTTTCTGACAACAAGCTAATAGCATCGTTGCAGTCAGAACAATATCTAGCCCCCCAAAAAGCTTTTCTTTTTTTTTTTTTTTTTAAATTCACTTAAGCCATTAACTTTTTCAGCCAATGGTCTAATACACCCAGATTTAATTCTTCTCCTATTTCTGGTTGTAGATTGTGGCCTGTTGGTGGGGTTCATCCTGCTCTACACAAGGAGTGACTGTGAGCAGACTCGGGGCTGTGTGACTTTTATTAGCGCTTCTGTGAGTCCTGAGGCTGAGGTTGGCACAAGCGGCAGAAGGGAGAATGGAAACGGCTGAAGGTCCTGCTGGGTCTGAAAGGCTGGAAACCATGAAAAGCGAGGCAAATGAGAGGCAAGGTTTCACAGTAAATACTGAACAACGTCTTTTTTTTAAATGTCAGCTGTGAAGCGACCTTCAGAGAACCCAATCTATTCTTGCATTCAGCTGACAGGAGAGCTGTCCCGTTGGAGCTGGAACAGACATGCCGTGTGGCTTTGAGAAAACCAACCTCAGAAAGAGGAGAAAAAAACCTGCCCAGAAATTCATCTCCTCGGACCACTGGACTGATTTGTGTGTGCGTGGTTAGCGATTCATTCCCAACTTAAAATGCTGATTTGTTTTAACAGCTTGCTAGGCAGGAATACAGAGGTAAATCACAGTGTCAGTTTGGGTTTTAAAGGGTAATGTTCCTTTCAATATTTTACACAGGAAAGGCAGGATGTTTCATCAGAGAGAGGACTATGGAGGTGACGTGGATGGATATGAAAAGAATTTCATCCTGCCAGTCCGGGGAAAGCAGATGACACTACAGCTCTGGGGGACCAGGGACTGTTGCACCGACACTACAAGCAAATGAAGTGCATACTGACAACTGGATTAAAAATCCTCTATGAGGTCTGTGTCTGCTTATTGCAGAGCTCAGCTCTGTCCTGAGAGCACTAACTTATATGTTATTTCAGCTGTGCATGTGCTGTAAAGTCCTTACTTGTGGTGAAAATAGTCTGGATCGTTTTGCTCTTTAGGGACCCGTTCAGTGCCTGGAGTTTCACCGTGTACTGGGTAGACGGGCTCAGCTCTGTCAGGCTGTAGGAAGTTGTCTCAGGCTTTAGGATGTCTTTCTATGGGGAGGAGAAATAACACAGGGAAATCTCAGCAAGAAAATCATAATGACCAGAACTGTCACATATTAGTTTGTCGCATTACATTTCGTGTTAATTAATTATGGTATTTTTAACCATCTAAATTATGTAGTACAAAACTTCTATTCCTCTAAGATTTTTATCACACCAACCTTCTTTAGAAGCTCGAGAAAAGTTGCCTGGAAATGAATGTTTACCATCATAATGTATAAGCTGTGTGGTTTAAAAGCAAGTCAGCGTAAATGTTTACATGCCTTGAGCATACACATCGTATAGATGTCTCCGTGAAACTCATAAAAATTGAGAAGAATCACCCTTTAGGACAAGGAAATGTCATACGCCAGTCTTCAAAAGGCTGTTTTTCTGTAACTTTAAAAGATGGATTTTCAGTATGCTTAGGGAATTGGCCTTCTTGAAAATCAGCACCCTTTCTGATGCACCAGGCTGGGCATCCAAAATTATCTGCCATTTTTGCTGGGATTCACCTCATTCATATTTAAGCACCTAGTATAATCTAGTTATGTAGGAACATAATACAATTATTGGAGAGCAAGAGGCACTTTCAGAGGCGATTCATCCTGCCTTGGACACCTCACTTACACAGGAATGGGTTCTCCTGAATTTAGAAAGGGAAATCTCATTCTTCGGGGTGTGTGAGTTTTTTCCACGACACAGGTTTGGAATGAGGGAAAATGGTTGCTTGTGCTTTTATCCATATTGTGGAGAGATGACGGTAAAAATTCAGGCTGCAATTGAGCTTCTGTTTCGGGACATAATACAGGAAAGTACTTAAGAAGGTTTTGAATGCATTTGTGTTCAAGCTAGCACTGAAACAAGTTCTTAGTATTTTACCATGTTTAATTTAAGGCACATAATGTTCCTTTGCTGGACGACACTTCAGAGCATCTCTACAGTTTTGAGGCACAGGCCCTTCTGGTTTGGTTACAAGTGCTATACCTTGACTCTGCCATCAATGGACTCGTAGATCAGGAGATAATCGGTGACGGGAGCACGTGGAGGCCTCCAAGTTATCACAGCTGTTTCTGACTGAACCTCAGTGGCACTTAAATCTCTCGGAGCATCCAGTCCTGAAGGAGACAACAGATCAATTACAATCATATCTATATGGAGTTTAGTACACAGACTATGTTACGGGCAGCATATTAAAACAGGCCAGGAAAGAAAACTTTTTCTCTCCAGAAACTTGAAATTAAAAAGTATTTCAACCTAAATTTTGTGTTTAAAAAGTAATTTTCCTATTGGAAGTTTTAAAATAAAGGTATTTATCTAAGTTAAAACATTGGCTTGTCTCGGGCACTTTAGTTTACAAGCAGTTGCATTGACATGTCTTGTGGAACAAAATTGCGCCTTTCATTATTTCACACAAGAAGACAGATCGGTATTTACATCTTCCCAGGAAGAAAAACTTTGGTTCCAATGATGCCTTTTTTGAATAGGAAAACTTTTCATACTTGGTCTGGCTACAGCTTCCCTTCTTCGCTGTAATTATAACACTGAATGTGTATGGCTCTTGGTTCTCTAGTTAATGCCCTGGCACATCAAGTAACAGTCTGGAAAATGAGAAACGTCCATGATTTCATTGATGCTCATGGAAAGCATCAATTGGATACCTTCAGCATAGGTACCCTAACATCAGCGCCCAAAGAAGAGCTCCTGCTCCCACCTTGTGTGAGAATCTGTAGAACTGGTAACAGAAAACCACCTTCTGCATCAGTCACACTAGCCTTTCACCAGAGAAAATTTAGTACAAATACTGTCAAAATTCAGGTTTCCAGTGAAGGAAGCACAATGTGCTGTCGAACTTTATGGTATTAGAGAAATGTACGCCAGGTGGGACTAGGAGAGATGGCAGCTCTCCCTGCAGTGAGGTGGGACATAGGACCTGTAGTAAACTGGGTGGAGAGGGTCTCGCTCCTCTGCGTGTCCTTCAGCGCGTGGATGCTCAGCGTATACTCAGTTGCAGGTCGAAGGCCCTTCAGGTCATACTCCACAGTGTTTCCTGATACCATCTGAGTAACTTCTGGTTCTAAGAAGAAAACACAGAAGAGAACAGGTCCCGGCACTATTCAGACATGTCATGATGTACTCAACTCCATGCTGCACTCATTGTTTTGTTTTTATTTTACTAGGTGGGAGCAAGCACAAAATAGTAAAAACCCAGAGCCCATCTCCTTGCTCTACACCTATGCTAAATCTAAACTAACACCAGAGTCCTTTATCTAAAAGTATTAGCACTCTCTAGTGTTCATATGAATTATAACACCATCTTTTCTTTTCAAGAATATCAGTTATCTCTGTGTCTGGATTGGGAACGATTAACGAATATGGTTCTTTTTAAAATGCTTCCAGCGAGGCCTCTCCTTCAAAAAACAGCCCCCTGCCATCCTCCTGGAGTCACATCGCTGCACCCATTTCTGAGTGTCTCTCGAGAGCTGTACTGCTGTCAGGTCCCCGACCCATCACTAACTCTTCTTACCATCCTCGGCAGCGTAGGAGACAATGTAATTATCCACAGCAGCAATTGCTGGCTGCCAGGTCGCCAGAGCTTCAGAGTCTGTGATGTTCACCACTACTAGGCCTGACGGGCTGTCCAGAGCTGAAAGAGAGGGAATAACAGATTGAAGGAATTTGACAAACATCCTCAGCTCTGTGCAATGCTCTCTTGTAAATATATGATATAAAACTTGCAAACACTGCTGCTTGGTGCAGCTTTTATGATTCCCTTTGGAATAGCGGAGCTCTGCAGAAGAGACGTCAGTGCCTATAAAGAGACATCGAATGCCTCCACTGGAAAGGGAGGTCAACGCATGAAAAGATTAAACACTGGGAACAGACATAACTAACTATGTTCTCAGATCAGTCCTGATATCATCAATCTTAACGGCTCTGTCAGAGCTGACATATTTCTCTCAACACCCTCAAAGCTGGACTGCTTTTTGGAGCAAGCTCAAGAGACAGAGCTGGGAAAAATAACTAGTGTGACGGCAACTGATAGCCACTGTGACCTTCCACCAGCTTGCCCTGCATGTTTAAAAATAAACCAATCGAACAGCCAGCCAACCATCCTAAATCCCCACGCGTCCTGCCTTGCTTCCTCATGGCACTCTATTTTGCACATAGTTTCATGCTCTCCCTGAATTGGAATAGATATCTGCCTCCAGCACATCTGGAATAGGCTAGAAATTTCATGTTATTATCCGATACTCAGCATCTTGTTCCTTGCCTCAATTCTCCAAGTCCTTGTCAGCCCCCCAAAAAGAATGAACGAATGAGACTGCAGGGGGGTCGGCAGGAGCACAGTGGCCCTCATTTCTTGCAGGGATATTTAAAGCTGTATTGAAGAAAAACCAGGAGAGAGAATGTTTTTCTGCGTAGGAGACAGTCTGGAACCTGGGAGATGTGGAGTTTGAGTCCACAACAGAAACTGGTCTGAACTGTTCAGCCGAGCCGGCCCTTTGCTCCCTCATCCCTAAAATGGTATTAATTAAACTTCTGTTTTTTTTCTGATGTATTAGGACCGTAAATAGATGAATTGTCTCTCTCCCACTGCAAGCTGGTTCAGCACTCAGCAAATGGGAGCCTGACTAAACTTACGAGTTCTATACTCATCTGAGACACAAAGACACAAAAAAAGAGTGGGCAAAAAACTTCCTACAGTTTGCGCAGGCAGCAAAAATAGGATCTTCAGCTCCAGTTCCCGAGTCTCTCCTACAGCACAGACAATGCATTTGAAAACCTGCTATTTCCTCTTCATGTATTACCTGTTTTCAGAGTGCCAGAGATGGGTTCACTTTCTTCAAAGCCTTTCACAGAGATGATACTAACATTGTAGTCTACACCTGGGATTAACTTCACCAACTTGGTCCTTGTCTTGCTTCCATCGACTGTGACCACATTTGGAGTACCTAGGATGAAGCCAAATGCCAAGGGATTAGTGACACAAGACTCCAGTAAATGTTTGAAAGATGTGTTTCAAGTCAAAGATATTATGACCAATATGGACATACAGGAGGAGTTGAACTTTCCCCAGTAAGTTACAGTCACTCAGGAAAAAATACTGCTGCCATAACACGTGAATCTAAGACACAGGTTTGTATTCATTCCTAGTGGCATGCAAACAATAAGAAAAAATTAACATTTCTGTTCAGAAAAATGTAGTTTTACAAATGAGATGTAAGCTGAAAACACAGCACTCTGCATATGGAAGTTCATACATGTGAGGATGCAGTTTATATCTGCTTTGTTTCTGGTAATAAAGGCTGGAAGTTTCTCCTTCACCCATCTCATTTTGAATAATGATATAGTATATATTATTTTAAGAGGTGCTGTATGTGTGGGTGAGGACTTAGGACACATATTTGTTTCAAATTATGGGTTTATTCCAGGAAAGTACTTAGACAAGTACTTAAAAACCTTATGATTGTGGATTGCTCCTTTTCTTCTGTGGGATCACTATACATTTGAAGTTACATGCGTGCCTACACAGTATATTGTCTAAAGGCAATCTATCTTTACTCTTTATTTGCCTTAGTCAGTAGCATGTCTGTAGTATTTGCTCTTTAGCTGTTTCATCTCCTTTCAGAGATGTCCCTAAGTTATGCTAAAAATCCATTTAAGTATAGGAAGTTTTTTAAGCGGAACACTAAAACAGATATAATGGATGGAACGCAACAACATTGGGGAATACTAAGGAAAATCACTGCCTTGGAAAACTTACAACCACGCGTTACGATTATTATTTCCAAGGGTCATCTTTTCAAATACGCTTAGCTCATGAAGTGCCTACAAAATAATGAGACAGTTTGCAAATAAATCCCTATTTAAGAGGCTCAGCGGGAACAGAGATTTTTGTGAACGTGGCCCTATTAGGGCCATTCCAGGATCCATCTCTGCGCTCGCTCACAAGTCTTGTCCATGGATGTGGGACACTATGTTCAGACAGAGGTTGGCTACTGGGACTGTGTATGCACACCCACATTCCTGGTCAGCAGTTTGAAGAAAAAGGGGATGATCTGTGTAAGATCACCTAGGAGATGCACTGAGAGACGGATATCAGCACAACAAACCCTTTCTGCTGTCCCTTCTATCGTCTTCCTCCCCGCCCCTCCTCACAGTTACCTCCTGCGACAGGGACGTAGGAGATCCGGTAGCTCTCCACGCGGGCGCGAGGGGGTGTCCAGCTGACTGTAGCGGAGTTTTCCGTGATGTCAGAGAAAGAAATTCCCTTGGGAGATCCAACAACTGTCCGTGGAGAATAGAGAACAAACACACCACATAGAAGGGAAAGGTAAATCATTTGTTCATCAATACTTAGTGCTGGAACACCGATTTGACTTATCCCTCTATCCCAAGAGCTGATATCAATATTCTGTTCTAAACACCACCAACACTAAACAGTTTTATCACATACGGATAGCAACAATCTATCTGGTCTAAATTTTCCTTTTTTAGTAACATTACAGCAATGCATAACTTAAAAATACCCCAGACCTATACCTACATATCACGTACACAGAAGTAACAGAGATTTCAGTGTTATAGAAGGGTATGGAGGAATAATTACATTAATGCAATTCTATTACCCAGGAGTTGTTGCATTTCTACTCTTTTCTACCCCAGTTTCACTTGGATGATTTTTAGACTTCCAGCTGGGTCTCAGAGCCCTATCTATGACACACAGCAACGGCAGCCCTTAGCAGTGGAGAGATCTCTCTTCCTGAGCATAAGGTTTCTACTATAGGATGCCTAAAAAAAGACCTGAACTCAGTTGTACAAGTTCATCGAGGGTCCGTCCTCTCAAGCTTTGACTGCCTGTAACTTCTGTTGCCTTCAAACCAGAAGTGAGAAGATTTTCCTCTTGGAATCTCTATCTGAGACCATGATTTTTCTTAGGTACATTCAAGCACATCCATCCAGAGGACATTCAAGTACAGCCGTCATGAGGAAGGCATCATTGTGGTTCTGCTGCAGCTGTTTGTCATACAATGCAGCCTTTTCCTGTATAAACCTCAGCACTACAATTGCCCATATAAGTTAGGTCAGTAAGCTGGGCAAACAAAGCCCAAGTTTTGCCAAAACAATCCAATCTTAAGATGCAAACCAACGCCTATCTGAAACATTCCAGTATAAGGCTTAATTAAGCTACTGCAAAACAAGCACAGAAAGGGCTTCTGGAAGGACATGGTAAAGAGACCTGCAACTTTAAAGTTTACATTGAGCATCTCACATCCAATTTGCTTTTTTGACTGTAACCAAAACAACCCTGACACGTGTTAAAAAAATAAACAGCCCACACAGAGTAGGCCATTAGCACAAAGAGGAGAGATACCAAACATCAGCCGCATTAAGAGCGGTGGAGACGGGCTGAGGGCAGGGGAAGGGGGGCAAGAGGAGGAAAAAAAGTGTCAGTGCTTGAAATAGTTTGGAAAGAACGCGTCTGCGGGAAAGAAGTCAGTGGGCTGTTTGTTCCATGTGTCCCCAAAGTTCTAGCAGCAATGCACTAAATCAAGTGAAAGGCAAGGAAAGAAAAACAACTGAGCTCCCAAGGGAAATGTAAATTATTCCTCTGGAGCTCACTAGACATGTTGGGTTTGTGGGTTTTGCGGGGTTTGCTCAGATGGAAAAGCCCAAGAAAGAAAAGAATTAAAGATAATGAAGAAAGCAAGGTGGGGTTAGTAAAGCTACATCACACACAGTTGCTACTTATTTAGGGACAGTCTGAAGGAAAAAGAGCATAAATAAAACCTGGAAAAGACAGAGAAGTGAAAATCACATTTTGTTTCACATTGTAGGTGCTCTTAGTGACTCGTGAAAAGTGCTAGTGATGACTCTAGAGACCAAAGAGAAGGACCAGCACTCGGTTTTCATACACACGGGGAATTTCAGCCTTTCCCTGAAAATAAAGTACCCAATCCATCCCACTTGGATTCTGCTGTGCGCATTTCCATGGGCTTCATGCTTGTTTTCTGTACCAGCTGAACTGCTGCGTAAGAAACAGTAGTAAGAACAGCCTTGACTATGTGAGAGTTTCCCATCCCCACCTACGGCTATTTTCCTAGGAGCAAATCTGGCAAAGAAAGCATAACGGACCATCAGAGCAAGCGCCAGTCCCGAAACGAGTCCCAAAGACGTAAGAGAGTGGTACCTTTGAGCACAGGGAAATGAAAAAGGAGCAAATGAAACCATCTTCCTGAGCTACCTGAAAGCTAAAAGTAAGCAGGCATAAAAAATGGCCAGCGTGCTTCCGTCTTGTCACTCACAAAAAACCTCAGTTCATCTGT